TAAGAACCATATGATCATCTCAATAGACGCAGAAAAAGCATTCGACAAAGTACAGCATCCCTTTATGTTCAAAACTTTAGAAAAACTAGGGATAACAGGAACTTACCTCGACATTGTAAAAGCTATCTATGCTAAGCCTCAGGCTAGCATCATTCTCAATGGAGAAAAATTGAAGGCATTCCCTCTAAAATCTGGAACAAGACAGGGATGCCCTCTATCACCACTTCTATTCAATATAGTTCTCGAAACACTGGCCAGAGCAATTAGACAGACGAAAGAAATTAAAGGCATAAAAATAGGAAAGGAAGAACTTAAATTATCACTATTTGCAGATGACATGATTCTATACCTAGAAGACCCAAAAGGGTCTACAAAAAAACTACTAGAACTAATAAATGAATTCAGCAAAGTGGCAGGATATAAAATCAACACGCATAAATCAAAGGCATTTCTGTATATCAGCGACAAAACTTCTGAAACGGAAATGAGGAAAAACACTCCATTCACAATATCCTCAAAAAAAATAAAATACTTGGGAATCAACCTAACAAAAGAGGTGAAAGATTTATACAATGAAAACTACAAAACCCTAAAAAGAGAAGTAGAAGAAGATCTTAGAAGATGGAAAAATATACCCTGTTCATGGATAGGCAGAACTAACATCATCAAAATGGCGATATTACCAAAAGTTCTCTATAGGTTTAATGCAATGCCAATCAAAATCCCAACGGCATTTCTTGTAGAAATGGATAAAGCAATCATGAAATTCATATGGAAAAATAAAAGACCCAGAATAGCAAAAGCAATTCTAAGCAGGAAGTGCGAATCAGGCGGTATAGCGATACCAGACTTAAAACTATATTACAGAGCAATAGTAACAAAAACAGCATGGTACTGGTACCAAAACAGGAGGGTGGACCAATGGTACAGAATAGAGGACACAGAGACTAATCCACAAAGCTACAACTATCTTATATTTGATAAAGGAGCTAAAAGCATGCAATGGAGGGAGGATAGCATCTTCAACAAATGGTGCTGGGAAAACTGGAAATCCATATGCAACAAAATGAAACTGAATCCCCTCCTCTTGCCATGCACAAAAGTTAACTCAAAGTGGATCAAGGAGCTAGATATCAAATCAGAGACTCTGCGTCTGATAGAAGAAAAAGTTGGCGCCGATCTACATATTGTAGGGTCGGGCTCCAAATTCCTTAATAGGACACCCATAGCACAAAAGTTGATAACAAGAATCAACAAATGGGACTTACTTAAACTGAAAAGTTTTCTCTCAGCAAGAGAAACAATAAAAGAGGTAAATAGGGAGCCTACATCATGGGAACAAATTTTTACTCCTCACACTTCAGATAGAGCCCTAATATCCAGAGTATACAAAGAACTCAAAAAATTAAACAATAAGAAAACAAATAACCCAATCAACAAATGGGCCAAAGACCTGAACAGACACTTCTCAGAGGAGGACATACAATCAATCAACAAGTACATGAAAAAATGCTCACCATCTCTAGCAGTCAGAGAAATGCAAATCAAAACCACCCTAAGATACCATCTCACTCCAGTAAGATTGGCAGCCATTATGAAGTCAAACAACAACAAGTGCTGGAGAGGATGTGGGGAAAAGGGTACTCTTGTACATTGCTGGTGGAACTGCAAACTGGTGCGGCCAATCTGGAAAGCAGTATGGAGATTCCTGGGAAAGCTGGGAATGGAACCACCATTTGACCCAGCTATTGCCCTTCTTGGACTATTCCCTGAAGACCTTAAAAGAGCGTACTACAGGGATACTGCTACATCGATGTTCATAGCAGCACAATTCACAATTGCTAGACTGTGGAACCAACCCAGATGCCCTTCAATAGATGAATGGATAAAAAAAAAATGTGGCATTTATATACCATGGAGTATTACGCAGCACTAAAAAATGACAAAATCATAGAATTTGCAGGGAAATGGATGGCACTAGAGCAGATTATGCTTAGTGAAGCTAGCCAATCCCTAAAAAACAAATACCAAATGTCTTCTTTGATATAATGAGAGCAACTAAGAACAGAGCAGGGAGGAAGAGCAGGAAGAAAAGATTAACATTAAACAGATACATGAGGTGGGATGGAAAGGGAGAGAAAAGGGAAATTGCATGGTAATGGAGGGAGACCCTCATTGTTATACAAAATTACATATAAGAGGTTGTGAGGGGAATGGGAAAATAAACAAGGAGAGAAATGAATTACAGTGGATGGGGTAGAGAGAGAAGATGGGAGGGGAGGGAGGGGGGATAGTAGAGGATAGGAAAGGTAGCAGAATACAACAGTTACTAATAGGGCATTATGTAAAAATGTGGATGTGTAACCGATGTGATTCTGCAATCTGTATTTGGGGTAAAATTGGGAGTTCATAACCCACTTGAATCTAATGTATGAAATATGATATGTCAAGAGCTTTATAATTTTTTGAACAACCAATAAAAAAATAAATTAAAAAAAACAACAAAAAAATAAAATAAATGAGCTGAACTTGTTAAAAAAATAAAAAAAAACAAAAAATAAAAGGGTGGTAAGATTAGGGACATGGATGAGATCACTTCCAAAGGGCTTCTGTAGTTAAATGAAGACTGAACCCAGAGCCACATCAACAGGTAGGATGCAGTCAGAGAAAGAGAATCCTGGGGATTGAAGGAGAAGGAGAACCAGGAGAGAGATGGTGGATCCCAGACAGGAGGAAGTGCTCTCCCCTATTGGGAGACTGGTACGGTTTGCAATTAAACCAAAGCCAGAGAGACCTTTCAACTTTATGGCTTGAGCCTTAAGCAAACACGATCCCCAGCACCAGAAAAAAAAAAAATACAAAGCAAAAAAACCCCACACCTATAATTCTCTTTTTACCTACAAATAAAATGTGAATTAAGTTTTCCCAATAAGTAAGTTAAAATCACATTCCATGTGGCCAAAAACTGGAGGGAGGTCCAATTTAATACTCATTTATCATTGTTTATTTTCCTTGAAGAAATTCTCTCACATTGTAGTTAAGACTTTGTGGTAGAGAATGAAATTACAAGCTGTAAATTCAGACTGCTCTGCTTCTCTAAGTACTAGCTTAGAGAAGCCTCAGAGCTCTCCTCCATAAAACTGGGTTAATTAGTACCTCTCAGGTTAGTTGTGAAAATTATATGAGATAATAACTGTAAAGTACCTAATGTGGTATCTAACATGTAATAGTTGTTCAATGTATATTTCGTTTTTTCTTAAAAAAGAAAGGATGATTAGCACTATAAAGCAGAAAGCTCTTAAATGTATTTAAGATTAAATTCTTATGAGAGTGGGAGCAATGCTTGTTTCCAATTCACACATACCTACCTCTGGTGACTCCTGGCTCACCTTTGTTTTACAATGTAGCGATTATGAGCCTTTAAGAGAACATGTACAGGCCTGTAGATAAAAGCTTCTTACACTCACTCTCACCTACATAGATAACTTGCAAAATATAAGAAACCCTGCGTATATGCACTGTAGATGATCTCACATGAAGAAGAGACATGGTAATAAAACTATTATCTATGGATCTGTACCTACATGTATGTCCTTAGAAGCAAATGTTCATGTTTCAGTTATTCACCTAGCACATTACACACATCTCAGAATTAAAAGGGTTATTATGTGGTTTGAATCAGGAAGGAGAGTGAAATTAAGTGCATGTACTTAAGATAGCAATAAGAGTAGAATTAGGATTAGGGATGTGGCTCAGTGGTAGAGTGTTTGCCTGGCATGCATAAGGCCCTGGGTTTGATCCCCAGCACTGAAAAAAATATGAAATTAATTTTCCTGTAATTATCCTTTGTAGTGTTTTCCTCCCATGTTTAGAGAATTGCCCCAGGTAATTATATACAATTTTTTTTTTCTATAACTAGGGCTGGTTTTTGGTTTTGGTAGTGTTTTTGCATCATTTGCCTATGTGCATACTTAGTTTTAAAATGAAATTAAGATAACCCCAAATTTTATTATAACTCTTACAAAAATGTTAAAACCAGCTTATACATCTTGTATGATTAACACATATGCATATAATATATATATATAACATATTTTAATAATATATAATAAAATATTGTTCATTTGGAGAGTGGGTATACTCTTTAAAAATTAAACTCCATTTTTTTTTTTTTTACTTTTATGTCAAGTAATGTGATTTTTCCTTATCAAGGTGTGTAACCATGAAGTTACTATTATTTCTTGGTGTTTGGTAGGGCAAGTTAACCTGGTGTTTTAAAATGTCTTTGCTTGGGCTGGGGTTGTGGCTCATCAGCAGAGCGCTTGCCTAGAACGTGAGAGGCCCTGGGTTTGATCCTCAACACCACATAAAAACAAATAAGCAAAATAAAGGTATTATGTCCAACTACAACTAAAAATTAAATTTTAAAAAAAGTCTTTGCTTATCTGAAGTCTCTTTATCAACAAAAAAGGGAAATGGAAGAGCTGGGTGCTGTGACATACGCCTATAATCTCAGCAGCTCAAGAGGCTGAGGCAGAGGATTGCAAGTTCAAAGCCAGCCTCAGCAATGGTGAGGTGCTAAGCAACTCAGTGAGACCCTATCTCTAAATAAAATACAAAATAGGGCTGGGGATGTGACTTAGTGCCCCTGAGTTTAACCCCTCAAACCCCCCACCTCCTGCAAAAAAAAAAAAGGCTGGGGTTTTTGCTCAGTGGTTAAGTGCTCCTGGGTTCAATCTCTGGTCAAAAAAAAAAAAAAATTAGTACTGCAAGACAAATGTGACCTATTGGTTTCTTATCATTTTGAAGATAATTTTGTTAAGTCAACTACTGAACATTTCTCAAATTTTAATTGTTTCAAATTTCTTTTCAAATTATTGTTGTTAGGATTAAAATGTAGTTTAGATACAATAAAACAGACACAATGAACAGATCTTAATACTTTGGTTCAAAGAAGGGTTTTGATCATTGTATGTACCCATGAAACCATCATGCAAAACAAATTGCCAAAATATTCTGTTACTCAGGAAGATCTCTTGGTTTTTGAATGAAAAACCATCAGCATTTCTCCAGCAGCCAGGGAAAACCTGACACTGAGGACAGCATCATGGCTTTCACACTTTAGGTGCATGGCCTTCTGGCCACACTTTCATGCTGGAGGAACCTTCCTGGGCACCCTAAGTTTGCTGTGGTTGAACCAAGAAGATACACATAGATTTCTCTCATTATGATTCCATGAGAGGATCTGCAAAGATAAAGAAAACTCGTGTCTTCAGAAAGTTAAGTCCAATGATTTTGGAATGCAGAGAATTTCTTTGATTGAATTCCATAGACATTTGTCACTAACCTATGTTCCTGAACTATGAAACATGAGTATAAGGGCTAAGGAGCAGTTTTTCTTGACAAATAATTAATAACTTAGAGTGAATTTTATGGTCTGTGAATTATATTACAAGAAAAGAAAAAAACCTTCATTGGGTTGCTATCTTACTTTAAAATAATAGTCTCTTACAATTTTCTCTATATAAAATAACCCCATCTCCTACTTATAATATTTGAATCATTTCTTTTCTCCAAAACAAGAAATTTGAAATCACTGACCATCATAAGACACACATCAACAAGACCTGTTGAGCCAGGTCTTATAATTCACTCCACCTGGGCAGTGACAACAAGTACACTTTCAGAGGCTTTGGGGAGCCTGGGTTTACCTCATGTCTGAGGATGGCCGCCACCAACAGAGGAAGGGCCTGACAATACAAGAAGCACCCTAGCAACAAGACTATCCTGGCCTAAATCCTCTCCAAGGCAGGGCTGTCACCAAGGGAGGGAGAGAGTTTACTGGTCAATTCTTGCAGTAGAATAGCGATTTTCAAACTTTACTTGAGCCTCAGAATCTCCTGGAAGCCATGTTAAAGTATGGATTGCAAAGTTTCTCTCTGAAGATGTATGGGTTGGGACCTAGGCATCTGAGTTTCTAACAAGTACAGCTGATGCTGCTGTTTTAGGGACCAAATTTTGAGAATCACTGTACTAACACTCTGCTCCTTGTAACATTTGGTAATTAGCTGAGGATTCTTGATCAGTCAGTAATATACTAGCCCAGTCCTGGCTAGGATATTGTGTTACCAATATCTAGGTTTTGAATCAAAAGTTGTAGAAATGAACACTGGACTTGGACAGAGTTTAAGGACAGCCAAGTCCATATTAATGGGGGCTTCTGCCTGAGCCACAGGGGGACAGAAACCCCAGACTGACTTGAACAAAGGGGAATAGTTTTAATGGCATCTAGAAGGTGTCAAGAATCTAGGTTTCTTGATGGTGTGACATATAGAGATGGGACTTCAGACATACCTGTGCTGCTCTTCATCATGCTTCTTCATATGTCGTGTCTCATAACCATCCTAAGTCTACCCAGGACTATGCATTTTGCTACGCTAATAAGGCTTTAAAGGTAACCATAGGTCACTTTGGTGACTACACATATGTTTGCCTTTCACTACCTGGAATTGCCCTTATCATCTGGGAAAGTCTCTGATATTTTATGGATAGTGCAAACCCTGCTTTTCCATTTCCACTGACCAGATCTCAGAAGGCTGAGCTGATTTTCCCAGCCTCCTATCTCCTGAGGAGTTAGCTCACTCCCATAGCCCTGAAAACTGGAACACCTTTTAATTCCTAATTTCTAACCTCATAGAACTGAGAGCTAGTGAGGCTGTCTTGTGTCCCCTGGACGGTGTTCATCCTTTAGTCCTAGGGGGTCCTGTTTTTTGTAGGGGGTCTCTGACTGTGAATAGGGTCAGGGCCAGGCACAGAACATCTCTCCTGGCTGGGCTGCTCTGGCTGCCTGTTCAGACACATTAATCCCAGGATCCTAACCTGAGGGACAGTGGATTCATTAGGTGTGTGGACAGATGTATGTATGTATGTGTGTTGTGAACATTGTTCATTGTACACAGGTGACACTACTCACCTGCCATGTCAGGACAGTGTGGTGGCAGTTTTGCCAGTGACAATCAAATCTTATGCTAATTCAACTTCACAGTAGACTCTGTGGGCCAGAATGAAGCAGACAGGTTAGCATGTATATCCACATTCTACCAATCAAGAGCCATGTGACCTGGACAAGTTACTTAATTTCCTAGAACTTTGCTTTTCAAGTAAGGATTCATTTCACTAACCTGTGAAGTACCAATGGATGAATGCTGTAATCTTGAGAGTGAGTCTTGATAAAAAGATGGCTTGGCCCTGGTTCCCTACCCCACCCCTGTGCCCTCTTGTCCTTCCATCGTTTGTTATAGAATGACACAGCAAGAAGGACTTTGACTTTGGACTTTTCAGTCTTGTACTATGAAAAGTAAATCTCTGTTCTTTATAAATTACCTGGCCTCAGATGTTTTGTTATAGTAGCACAATGGACTAACAGCAGTAGAAGTCTGAGAAGCTCTGGCCCAGAACAAAGAAGTTTCAGTGCAGAGGCTTCAAAATCCACAGCTGAGATCACAGTTGGAAATCCAGTGAGCCTCTGTTGTGTGTGGAATGTTGGAAGAGATGAGTTGTTGTTTGAATGGCAAAGTTTGGGAAACTGAGCACTGAATTTAGGCTAAAAATCAGAGTAGGAATAATTTGTGATGGTGTAATAACCATCTCTGTGCCTAAAAGAAAAAAAAAAAAAAAACAGTTTGGTCAGCAGGGAGGAGAAGAGGATCAGATGGAGATGAGATTAGATATTTGAGGACTTGAGTGCCTTTTCAGTCTCTTTCTCTTCATCTCCTCCTCCTTATCCTCTTTTTATCTTTTCAATATTTATTTATTTTTTTAGTTGTAGTTGGACACAATACCTTTATTTTATTTATTATATGTGGGGCTGAGGATTGAACCCAGAGCCTCTCACGTGCTAGGCAAGCGTTCTACCGCTGAAACACAACCCCAGCCCTTTAATCCCTTTCTCAAAGACCCCATCAGCCTTCACTTGATAAGGTTTACCAAAGGAATCAGAGTCTCTCTCAAGAGCTTAAAGTAAGATAGACAAGAGGCACAATCAGAGTTTTCTGTGTTAGCTTTCCCTTACTATAACAAATACCGGAGATAATCAACTTAAAAAGAGAAAAGGTTGATTTTGGCTTACAGTTTTAGAGGTTGCAGTTCATGATCAATTGGCTCCATTATTTTGGATGAGGCAGCACATCATGGCAGGAGGGAATGGTGGAGCAAAACTGCTCAGCTTGTGGCCAGGGGCCAAAAAAGGAAAACAAATAAAAGAGGAAGCAGTTGGGGTCCCACTGTCCCCTGAAAGGTCATGTCCCTGGTGATCTGAAGACCTCCCTTTTGCTCCACTTCTTAAAGGTTCTGTCACCTTCTAATAGTGCCACAGGCTGGACATCAAGCCTTCCACACCTGGGTCTTGGGGCACAGCTACCTAAACCACAGTAGAGGCAACACCTGAGGAGAAAAGGAAGGACTGAGAAGTTGTCAGAGGATCACTTGGCACCCCAAGTCATTGAGGGGTAGAGTTGGAAAGGAAGTTAGTCCGGAAAGAAAAAGGGGAACTGGGGAGTAAACCAGAAAGAAGATGAGGGGAGGCAGCTCGTGTCCTGGCCAGTGGGATGAATGTTACAAGTCCTGAGAAGTAGTGAGGGAAGCTTCTCAGACAGAGCACTAGGGGGACCAGAGTCATCACCTTTGTCCTGACTCATGATAGTCTGGTCCATGTGCCTCCTCTGGCCTGTCCTCAGGGTCCTCCAGGCCTGCTTATGACCTCACCCTGCACTGGCCCTGGGGGAGTTTCCTTCAGGGTTGGCCCCTGAAGACCTTTGGCAATTGAGGAGCTCCTCAGGGTCCCACGGCTGAGGAAGGGGCCCGGGAGGCAGTAGGTTCCAGTGCCCTGCCACCGTAGGGCAACTGGGTGTGCCCCCATGGTTCCCAGAGAGTTGGCTCATTGTTTTCCTCCTTGCTGAAAACAGTTTCTGACGCCCATAGTGAGGTCAGTTTCAGTTTAAGATACATCTCATAGAAAGAAAGAAAGAGACAAACTCCTTCCTCTTAACCTAAATGCTTTTTGAGTGTGGCATTGAGGACCAGGCAGTCAGAAGTCGTGAGTTTCCTCTCGTTTTGCAGGACCACAGGGAAACCACTTGACCCTCTGATGTGTCAGACAATCACTGTGTGCCAAGCACCTTCCTGGAACAGATATCATTTCATGGACTCCTCAGCCCAGCCCTTGAGGCAGCTGTGTCCTTCCCCGGCTTTTAGATCCTTCCCACAGTAATCATGCTGTGATCATGAGAGCTGGGATCGTGCCTGGGCGCAGGGTGGTCTGAAAAGTAGAGGCAGCTCTGAGCTCCTAGTGCCCAAACTTCCTGCTTCTAGTTCTGAGTCAGGGACCATCTGACTGTGGGAGATCATCACTTAGACCGGCCACACCTGTTCTAATCTTGAGGGTGTCCGCATGTCTTCATCCCACTATGTGACATGATGAAAACAGCTTCACATGCCACCTGCAACTTCCTTAACAGGAAGAGTGAGCTAAGACACATGGCAGAGGCATGAGTCTCACCACCAGCCTGGACTCCCCCAGCCCCCAGGGCAGACATCCTATTTATTCATTTTTATTACTGCACCCCCTCATATTACAGAGAACATGGGACATTGTAGATGCTCTTTAAGTGTTTCCTAATTAACCAGTGATGAATACGATTGCAAAGATTCATACCATAATCAGTTTCTGGCATTTGTAATCATAATTTTATTTATGTGCCATACTAGGGATCAAACTCAGGCCTTTGCACATGCTAGGGCAAGTGCTTAACCACTGAGCTACATTCCTTGTCCAGAAAAATTTAAATAGCAATTTTTTTCGATAAATATTTAAGTCCTACTACATACCAGGCACACACTAGGTGATCAGGATCCAGTAGTAAGCAAAAATAACTCCTTGTGGGGCTCCAGTCTTGAGGGGAAGAAAACATTAATTGCTTTCTCAAATGCAAATTAAATGTCTGCTGTGATAAGATCACTGAAGGACAAGAGCATGGATACAGGCAGAAGGCCCCTTCAGGGTCCAGGGCAGGATTTCCACATCCACTATGAACCATGTTCTGGAGTTTGCTCCTTTTCCAATGGGCAATTGGATCCTTTATTCTATAATGGGAATTAAAGATCAACTCAAACTAATTTGAGGCTATACTACACATCCATTTGGTTATCAAAAAACAAAAAGTATGAAAAGTCTGCCATTGATAAAGCTGTAGGGAAATAGGTACCAGTGATATCTTTCTAAAAACACTGTTAATTCAGCTTTTCTGAACCTGGTAGCAGGTAACCACAGCTTCAGATGCTTTACTCCAGAAAGGCCACTCTGGGAAATATTCCTAAAGAAACAGTGGTGTGTATAAAAGCAACATGTTTTCTAAAGGAAACAAGCTAATGTTCAATAAAAGAAATGTATTAGCACATGAAAGACAATAGTATATAAATATATGAAATGCTGGGGCTGGGGTTGTGGCTCAGCGGAAGAGTGCTTGTCTAGCACATACAAGGCACTGGGTTCAATCCTCAGCACCACATAAAAATAAATAAATAAAATAAAGGCATTGTGTACAACTGTAACAAAAATAAATAAATATATGAAATGCAGAGCAGAAGGGTCCTGATGTGCGTAAGTGTGTATATGAAAATTTGATTGAAGAAAGCAAAATAGAAAATGCATGGGAAACATAACTATGTAAAATTGATTCACTTATATAATGAAAACCAAAAGTTTAGAGAGATATAAAAATGTAGAGATTTGGTCATTTAAGTATACTTTTGTTTTTAGTTTGTAAACTTTTTTGGAAAGAATTTCAAACACAGAAAAGTTGCAAAGATAAAGAACTTTTTCATCCCTTGCCCAGATTTCCAACTGTAAAAAATGTATGTTTTCCTTATAACTTTATCTATCTCTTTATATCTGTCATCTATCTACCTACCTATTATCTGTTTATCTATCTATCTATCCATTTGAACACATATTGCCAGGTTATCTGTCTGTCTTATCTATCCATCTTTTCTTTTTTTCCTGAGCCAATTGGCACGAGGTGGAAGTCATGACGATGCCTCATTATCCTTAAGTTGTCAGGGTATATGTGCCAAAAGCCAGAGAAAATTTTCAGTTAAGATTCGTTTTGCTCTAAGTCTAAGGGTGGAATAATGTGGTTTTCCATCACATAGTAGGAGCAACTAGTACCTGGAAGTGGTGCTCTCTCCCTTCTTCATCACCTCCAGCAGGCAGAGGACTGTAGGCCACAGGCTCAGAGTGTGGCAATGAGGAACAAAGGCAATGCTGGAACAGCTGAGCCAGTGGGAAGACAACTGACCTTGACAATGTGCAGGTGATCCATCCCAGTTGAAAGAGATTTCCTGTCTCAGGTGAGTCTCTGGCCTCTGTTCCTTAGTGTCTGGGTCCTCTCTAAGGTCATAGGAATAGGGCACCTGACTGAGCCCATCAGACAGAAGGTGCTAAGGGGTCATGTTCTTCATATGCCTTCTCTACATTTGTGTATATCACCCTTTTTGAGGATCACAGCACTTCTGTGAGGAACAGGAGGCTTGGGCATCCTGCTAAGGAAGGCAAGTATCAGGTGTCCCCCACACAACCCCATTCTGCCAACCTTTGTCCCTCTGAGCCCCTAGTTCTGCTCCTGAGGGGACCTTGGGATGGTCATGTTCCCCAGTGGACCAAGGAGTTGAGGTCACTGTCTGCTTTCGATACTTGTCCCTGAGTTCATGCCTGGGCCTGAAAAGGGGAAACCCAGTCCTTGTAGGCTCAGCCACACAGTCTGGCTCCATGACCGTGCCCATGGAGCCTACCTCCTGGGATCTCTGGGGGTGTGGTGTTTTCCATTTCCTCCCACCCTGTGTCAGGTCTGCAGCCCACGAAGTACCCACTCATGGTCCTCTGACTTCACTATGGCCCTCAGCTCCTGTGTGCTGAAAGCTGGGTGGTGCTTTGGAGAACCCACATCTCCTTACATGGAAACCAAGGAATTTCCCCAGTAAGGAGTCTTTGGCAACTCCAGGCCACAGGAAGTTACAGCTATGGAGACACAGAAAGAATGAGAGGGAGGAAGCACCAGCCCTGCGCATACTTTTAGGGGCCTCTCCCAAAGGGCAAGATTGCCCTGCATCCCCATAAACGGGACACAGCAGCAGGTGGGGAGCACCTTGCTTACACGTGGGTCCTGTCTTTCATGCTTTATGCCACACCCCCTCCTCCCCCTATTTAGAGCCATGGTTCTCAATCCTGGCTACACAACAAGCCTCCTGGTCCCAGGCTGCATCCTGGAGCAATTATATGGGAGTCTCTGGGTAGGACCCGGAGGGCATCAGTAGTTTCTTAAGCTCACATCAAGTATTCGCAGTGGACAAACAAGGTTGAGGTCTACTAATTAAAAAAAAATAAAATTCTTACACCATATCTTCTGTAGTCAGGATGTGCTTATTTGTAGGGAAAGCCTACTTGTCCTTCAAGACACGTCTCAGATGTCCCTTCTTTAGTGAAGCCTTCCTTGACACACCCGTTTCCCAAGACACAGTTAACTGCTCCTCATCCTTACTGATTCTATGCTTAGGCATGTGGGGGTCTGGGGGCCACCTGTATTCAAATCCTGCCTCCAGTACTTACTAGTTCTCTGAAAGCCTCAATTATCTCATCTGTAACATGGGAATGATAATAAAAATGCTCATTCAGTTTAATGAATAATTCAGTGCAACAATTTGCTTATAACAGCCTGGTCAGCAAGTATTTGCCTTTTCCTTAGAGTCTGTATTCTTTTTTGCCTCCTTGGAACCTTCAGAATGTAAACTTGAGGGCAGGGCCTGTCTGTCTCAGCTTTGTGTTCCCAGGACGTGGTCTACATGGAGCTTCACATATAGCAACACTCAGTAAATATTTGCTGAGTAAATGGATCATAAGGGAACCATTATGTGACATTAAGGCTTACTTCCTAACTTAGTGCTGGAATAAATAGAATCCAGACACTGATTTGTTTAGCATTTCCCCCCTTTTTATTGAGTGTCCTCCGCTATGTGCTGGGTTCTACAGATTTGAAGATAAAGATATAGTTGCTATCATTGAGGAGTTGACAATCTGGTAGAGGACACAGGTCCGTGACCTTGTTATTTTTTGTGCTGTGACTGGTGCAGAAAGGATATGAGCACTCTGAGCACTCGAGGAGGAGGGTGGTGGGTGGGGGAAGAAGTGGAGGAGGAAGAGGAGGAACAGGAGCAGGAGCAGCAGCAGCAGAAGTGGTGGGAGGGAATCCTTGTGTAACATTAAGACTTGCTTCCTAAGTTAGCTCTGGAATAAGTAGAATCCATATGCTAATTTTTAAGCAATTTTTTTTTTCTTTACTGAGTAGCTAAGCCCCTGTGAGAGGAGCTTGGCAGGTGGAGAAGCAGGGAAGGGCGCCGGAGGCAGAGGGAGCTGCAGGGCCTAGGAAGCCAGACCCCAAGGGCG